CAACAGATGACACTAGTTCATTTTTGGAAGTACTAGAGTCATTCTATGTTATTGCTGTGTCATTTGAAAGCCACAGTTCTAACTTCATTCTAAAAATAAATAAATCAATAAATAAATAAGTGATTTGGTTTAGTTTTGGAGATTTTACAACAAGTTAAAGATGGACGACCTAACTGCATTTTGGCCATATCTTACTATTTTCCTTTCATAAAGGGAAGAGCGCATGTTGAACTTGTGACAAGTTGTATAAAGTTTATGGTGACAGTGCTCTACCAGAACCTCAGGACCAGTGATGGTTCACAAAATTCTGTGCTGGTGATTTTGATTTCCTTGGTCAGGGAGGCCCACCGAGGTTGATGACAACAAAAAGAAGGCATCGATGGAGCCAAATCCACGTTACACAACCCAAGAGTTCACAGAAACATTGAACATCCATCATGCAGGGGTTCATGACCACCTGAAGAAGCTAGGATATGTAAGGAAGCTCAATAATTGGGCTCCTCATGAACTCAGAGAAGCTCATTTGATGGTCTATATAAACATCTGAGATATGCTTTTTTTTTTTTGAGACATTTTTGCTGTAGGGCACATGTACTCCCTAGAGATAGAGACAGAAAGACAGAAAATAAGAGGTTCCCCCCCCCCCCCCCGGAGGGATTGCCATGCTGCAATCCCTTCTCCACTGGTCTCCTTTGAGAATTTTGGGCATGCACGTGCATGCGCCTGGTGTGAGTTTTAGGCCACCAAGTCTGGGACTTGAACTGCAGTCGTCTATTTGAGAGTCCAGCAAAGTGGCCATTAGACCATCTGCTGGTCCTGCAATACATTCATGAAACGTGAGGAAAACGATCTTTTTTCAAAGTGACTGATAACTGGTGACAAGAAGTGTATTGTTTACAACAATGTGGTACGCAATCCATCTTGGTCCCAACATGATGACTGACCTCAAATGACATTGAAAACAGACATTCATCAGAGGAAGGTTATGCTCTCAGTATGGTGGGATTTTAAGATGTCGTGTGTTTCGAGCTCCTACCTAGGAACCAATCAATCAATCCAAATGTGTACTGTTGGCAATTGGACACACTGAAAGGATCCATGATCCAGAAATGTCCAGAGCTCATTGATTGTAAAGGAATGGAGTTCTATTCCAACAATGTGAGACCATACACCAGTTTGATCACCTGTCAAAAATTATAGGAGCTTGAATGGAATGTGTTGCCATATCCACCATACTCACCTGACCTTGTGCCATCAGTCTTCCACCTTGTTTCACTCTCTTTAAAACTCTTTGTGTGGTATAACGTTCAATTCAGATGAGGCTATGAATCAGTGCCTTATTTAGTTTTTCACCAGTAAAGACAGGTCCTTCCATGAAAGAGGAATTATGGTCACTGAAAGACGGCAAAAGGTTATCAAGCAAAATGAGTACTATATCGTTGTTCTTTGTTCTTTATATAAATAATTGACCTTTGAAAAATATAAAAGACATTGAACTATAAAAGTACTTATGGGAGAGGCCAGCAGGTGGCATAGGGGTTAAGGCACTGGACTCCCACATGGCAGACTGTAGGTCGATCCCCAGACCTGGTGACCTGAAACTCATGCAGGGCTTGTGTGCATGCATGCCCAAAACTCCAAAAGGAGAATGGAAGAGAAGGGATTGCAGCATGGCCATCCCCCAAGGAGTTGATTTCTCACTTTCCCTCTCTTTCTCTGTTTCTCTCTGTGTCTCTGGTGAGAATATGTACTCTATAGTAAAAATTTGTTTTTTAAAAAAAGTACTCAGAGAAAACATGAGTGAAGTTTTACAGAATATTTATATATGGGCTTGATTTTCTGAATACAACTGGTATAATTGAACACCTATAAATAAAAACTGGTTTTTGGCAATATCAAACATGCTGTTGGGTTGACCCATGGCCTGGTGGTTAAGGGAACCGTATCACACATAGCCAACTACACTGTTCAAGTCCCAGCCCCAGCAGCAGGAAAAACACACCAGGTGTGTATCCATGCATGCCTGAAATCCCTACAGGTTGGAAAAATGGCGGAGAAGGGATTGCGGCATGACCACACTCCATTGAGTGGGGCTTTCTCTCTTTTGATTTCTCACTTTCTGTCTCTCTATCTCTCTCTGTCTCTCTATCTCTCTCTCTGGTGAGCACATGTGCTCTCTGCTCCCTACCCCCCCAATACTGTAAGAACAATGAGAAACTGGAAAAATGAGTAAACATATGTGATGGGAATAAATATATTCTGTGATAAATTTTTTTGTTTATAATATGGAAAATAGATTTTGTACTACAGAAACGAACACAGACTATGAATATATGGTTCGCAGAAGGAGTAATGCAAGTAGCTAATACACATAAAGATATATTTTTAAATCTCACCAAAAATTAAAGAAATTACAAGTTAAAACAAATTCATGATTCTTTTGTTGTTGTTTCTATGAGACTGTCTCTCACTTAGGAGTCTGGGCAAGTTCTATCTGCCAGTATTCTCTGACTCGCTGAGTAGCTTCCTCTCTTGGATCCTTCTTGCTGTGAGAAAGACTCCAAAAGGGTAAGTGAGGGCCTCTGCCTGGTGAGCAGAGAATGCACAGGAGAGCAGAGACAGGGTACAGGTGGCATTGCTATGAGTGGGGACGCCAAGGTAATGCAGATGACCTCATCATGATGACCTTTTGTGGGGTGTTAGTTTCAGGGTCTCTCCAAGTCGAAATTTTTCTTCAATTCCACACTTTGGTTCAGTTCATCCTATTATCTTGAATTTCTTGCTATCACCATGCTTTTCCTTCCTTCCTTCCTTTCTTTCTTTCTTCCTTCTTCTTCCTTTCTTTCTTTCAGAAATTTCTTCCTTCCTTCCTTCCTTCCTTCCTTCCTTCCTTCCTTCCTTTCTCTTTCTTCTTTCTTTCTTTCTTTCTTTCTTTCTTTCTTTCTTTCTTTCTTTCTTTCTTTCTTTCTTTCTTTCTCTTCCTTTCTTTCTTTCTTTCTCTCTTTCTTTCTTTTCAGAGAGATTTTTTGCTATAGGGCACGTGTGCTCATCAGAGAGAGATAGAAAGCAAGTAATCACCCCCACCCCCAAGTGGGATGGCCATGCCACAATCTCTTCTTCTCCGTTCTCCTCTTGAGATTTTGGGCACACACACGCATTCTATCTGAGTTTCAAGCCGCTGGGTCCAGGACTTGAACCACAGTTGACTATGTGGGAGTCCACCAACATAACCATTATGCCATCTGCTGGTCCCTATCACCATGCTTTTCTGCATTTATTGACTGCCCATTCTATGGAGCTCCCTTTCCTGGTTTTTGACCCCTTTCTACTTGAGGTCATATTTGAGACTTCATAAGATAAAGAAAGATACAGACAGATAGAGAGACAGACCAGAACAGAAACATGCTTCTGTCATCTCACCATGCTAGGGCCTGTGCTGACCCAGGAGTCTGCAGAGTCCCCACAGCAAGAAGACCTTCACATTACTCTTGCCTCCTTGGTTGAAAGTAGCAAGGAATATTTCCTAAGTCTGGCGACTTTTTCCAGGAAAGGATTACACTACAGTTGTGTTTTGTTTTGCTTTGTTTTGGTACTCATTATTTAATCAAGTTGTCTGTTTTCTCCAGAGTCTACAGAGTGCACAGAAATGTGAAAAAACCTCATATGTAGACCTTTCCTCATTGTCTCCCTCTCCCACATATTCCCCTCTGGCCCCCAGTGAATCACAGAAGAAGGATGTGCAGAGAGAAATGTGCTCAGATATTTATATTCAACAACCAACTGGCATTTCCTGGAATCCTATTGTGTGCCAAGTCTTCCACCAAAACCGGTATTAACACAGGAACAAAATCCTCTCCACAGAGTGCCCAGTGATGCCAGCCATAGCAGAAAGGACTCTCCCTAGCCGTAGCAATCCAGCTCTTGTTATCCTGTTCTGTGGAGTCAAGAGCAATGCCATCCCTGTGTGGCACTGGCCAGTAGCATGTCGCAGACAAGACTTGTCATGGCAATAGTTTCTCCTTTCTTTCTTTCTTTCTTTCTTTCTTTCTTTCTTTCTTTCTTTCTTTCTTTCTTTCTTTCGCTAGAGGACACATGCACTTTCTGGAGAGAGACAGAGAGACAGGGAGGGGAGAAAGCATTCCCCATGGAGAAGGGTCATGCTGCAGTCTCTTCTCCTCCATCTCTTATTTCTTTTGGAATTTTGGGCATTCACATGTACCTGGCATGTTTCTCAAGCCACTGGGTCCAAGACTTGAGCCATGTGTTTAGCCAAGTGGAATCCAGATGTCTTAACCACCAGGCCACAGAGCTAACCAGCAATATTACTAAAATAGAAGAACAGTATCTTGGGAACTGGCCCCACAGTGCCGCAGTTAAGCGCTGTACGGAAATGCCAGGTCCCACGTGGCCAACTGGGCTTCAAACCCCAGCTCCTGAAGCAACAGCTCAGGCATGTGCGCATGTGCCCAGGATCCTGATGGGATAGAGATTAGAGAAAGAAGGCCTGCGATGTGACCAGACCCCACTGAAAGGTACTTTCTCTCTCTCTCTCTCTCATATGTGCACACTCACTTGATCATGAATAAAGGAATTGTTTTTTAAAAATGGAAAAAAAAAATAGTGCTGGGAGAAAGAGTTAATGAGAAACCCAAAATGACTCCAGTGGTCAACAAGTAGATGCCATTTTTAGAGAGCCAACCGTGGCCCAGTAACACCTGTACGCATTACAAACACATGGCATCCTCCAGTGCTCCAAACACTGTGAGGAAGTGATCTTTACTGCACTTTACAAATAGAGAGATTGAGGTTCAGGAAATAAAATCACTCGTCGAAAAGCACAGAGCCAGTACTTCAGACTCATGATATAAATTCAAGGGCACCTTGCTCCTAAACCCCTTCCTTCCACTACAGGTCTGCGGGAGGGAAGCCTCACACCCAGACTTTTCCTCATGGCCACTCCCCATCACATGTACCCCCCAATGAGTCACAGAAGCAGGATGTACAGAGACAAATGCATGCTGGTGTTTATTCACCAATTAGTTGGCACTTCCCCAGACCATATAGTCTTCCTCCAGAAGAGGTATTGGTGGAGGAACCAAACCCTCACCATGAAGTGTCCAGTGATCCAATCCTGGGACCAGGAAGGATGTTCCCAGACCACACAGAGTGGGAATCAGAGCTCCTCCAAAAGGTGGGAATCAGGCTGCAAGAGAAAATCAGGCAAGAGCTTCAGTGTAGAAACCAGCTGAGTCATCCCCACATCTTTCCCGTAGAAGTCCCCCGAGGTAAAGAAGATAGCAAGGTGGGGTAAGCTGAGTCTTGATGTCAGTAGGCTGGCTTCGAGTCTCATTTTACTGTAAAACTCTAAACTCATTGCATGGCACTTAGATGACCCTCAAACTCCAGGGACTCTCTGGGCTTTGACCCTAGACAACATGTGGGCAAAACCTGAATAATAAATACTGCGTGTACACCATACTCTATAGTGGACTTTCAATTTCATGATGTCCATTTTACAGATTAAGAAAAAAAACCTGAGTTTCAGAAAGTTTCAGAAAGCCATCTGCCCAAGGCTCTCGCTGAGAGAGGCTGGTATAGATCCAAGGCACAGGCGATCCTATAGAAATCCTATCACTGAGACCTGGGGATCAGTGCTCTTGAAAGACAAGCGAGTCAGCCAGAGGCCAAGGGTCAGGAGTCCCCCTGCTCATGTACCTGGATCTCCATAGGATTGGGACTGAGAAGGGCTGGAGAGAAAAGGTTGACCTGCCCCAGCCCCCTCCTTACCTTTCTGGGGGTCAACACAGACTTTCCCACACATGCCCATGCAGCACTTCAAGTTGTCCTGACACTCTTTGTCCTCCTCACAGAAGTTGGGAGGGTTAAGCATCATACATTGACCATCAACCTTTGGACACTTCCCGGGTTTCTTCACTGGTGAGAGAGGGGCCACAGGTCAGAAGCCTTGTACTTTAGAAAATGACCCTTGCCTTCACTGCCTATTTCTTGGATTCATCCCCTGCTCCAACTTGATCAGGAAAGATAATCTCCTCTCCCACCCCATCACCACCACTTCTTCCCTTAGGCATTCCCTGAAGGTAGCACCTGACTCCCATCTAATATCAGTTCCTGGTCAATGCAGGTGACCAGCTGACCAGCACTGACTAGATGGTGGCTTCCAATTGCCTGGCTATCTTAATGCCCAGATAATTCCCTGGAAGACTGACCTCCCAACAGGCTAGCTGCTTCATCAGACGCCTGAGTGACTTCCTGTCTGGGGCAGTGAGACTCCTTGACTGACTGACTGGCTGGCCAACCAACTGGCTCAACAACTCATGGACAGGAGGAGGCCTGGTAGGACCTTATTACCAACTCCATCCTCCTAGATGCTGTGTCTTCAGGCTCATTCCTCTCCACCCATCTCCACCTCCTCTCCACCCAGCTCCCCCACCTGCTTACCTTGGCTTGAGACAGTAACAGGAGCAAGGCATTTGATGCCACAAACATCAGCGCAACATTTTTTATTCTCTGGACAGTTCCAGTCACTATTGCACATGGGTTCTTCAAATGCGAGGCACTGGGCAGCTTTTATAGGAGGGCAGGCTCCAGCTTTGAAAGCTTTTGGAGAGAAGGCCAAGAGGTTAGGAGAGGGTTGGTTGTAGAACAGCCATCATAACTCTGGACAATGAACTACTTTCCAGACTCTCATTCTAGTGGCCAACCCCAAGTCCAAAGGGGAGTGCCTGCCTGACCTCCAGGAAGAGTAACAGGCTTGATTAAATCAGCCATGTGGGCAGGGAGGCTACAGACCCAGAAAAAAGGCAGAGGGCTCCCAGTCAAGATCTCCCATCCCAGGAGAAAGCAAGGCAGAGAGTGAAACAAGCTAGGATGCGTAGAACCAGTTTGAGAACCATTGGGAGCTAATGCCAGAGGCACAAACTCCAAGAGTAAAGGACAGAAACAGGGACAAAAGACAGCAAGAGAGTCCAGAGTGATGATGGAAGAGATAGAGACCTAGACAGGGTTAGAGAGTGAAGGAGATGGGGCAGGAGAAGGTGCAGAAGGCACAGAGAAGAAGTGAGAACCGGGGTGATGCGATGGCTGAGGAAAGGAAGTATTTCCAGATGCTCAGAGTGTTCCAGAGACCTTGGAGCCCAGCCAGACATATATTCCACCCTCAAGAAGGTCTCCTACAAAAGCTGAGAGGTCAGAGCCTAGCAGAGGAGACATGCCCACACCACCAAGAGCCCCCACCTGTGACCCAGTAGCCAGCCAAGATTGGACCAAGGTGACTCCAACTCACCTGTTGCAGCACCTTCTACAGCCCAAGGTGCCAAGGTTCCCAGGGCAAGAAGTCCCACAAGGAGGAAGAGACTGCTGGACTTCATGGTAAAGGTGAGGTGGCTCTGAAGGCCAACGCTAAACCTCACTGTTTATACTGTCACTAGTAGGTGTGGCCCTATGGGGATTTTTTGGCTCCTCCCAGCTGTTGTTGCATAGGAGGAAGCTTGGCCAGAGACCAGACATCCTGACAGCAGGGAGTCAGTTACTCTTTCTTTCCTGTTATAGGCAAAACTGTAACAACAGAATAGCTACCAGAAGAAAGAAGAGGTTGGCCTGGAAGATGTCACCACGCTGATAAGGAGGCCTTCTCAGATAGCCATCTGAGCTCTGGACTTTGTGAGAGCCCTAGGCTCATTAGCCCTGTAGGTGAAGAGAGGAAAAAGAGGTTGATGGCAAAGATTCTACCTGGACCTGGAGTGGAAACTAGGGTTGTGTACTCTTGATTGAGACTTGGTGCAAATACACTTCTAAGTCTCCCATTATTGGATTCTCAGAAATTGTGCACTCTATGGTAGAGACTGAAAGACTGGAGAACATAAAAGTATTAAAAATTGTATTGGACACTAGAGACAAAGGGGAAAGAAAGTGTGGGAGGGGAAGAGTGTAGGAAACTTGGGAAATGGAGAGGTAAGACACTTAGGGGACACAGATAAGGTTTATTATCTGTTGACTAGGATGTGTATGGTGGTCTCAACTGGGCTGGACTGAGGTGTATATTTTGCTGGGTAAAGTCTCTTCACAATCTAAAGGATGTATAGCGATTTAATGGATGAATGACAATAAAAAATAAATGAAATTTTAAAAATAATGGCAAAAAAAAAAGAAAGAAATTGTGAAACTCTCTACTGATCACTCAACACAATTCTTTTTCAAAAGTTCAGGGAACCAGCAGTTAGCGTAATGGCTATGTCGCTGGACTCCCACGTAGTCGACCGTGGTTCACGTCCCAGACCCGGTGGCTTAAAACTCACGCCGGGCGCGTGTGCGTGCGTGCCCAAGATCCCGAGAGGAGAATGGAGGAGAAGGGATTGCGGCATGACCATCCCCCCTGGGGGGTGATTTCTCGCTTTCTGTCTCTATGTCTCTCTCTGTCTGTCTGGAGAGCGCACGCGCCCTACAGTGACCTACCTGTCACTCAACTGACTGATACTTATTTTCCTGAAATACTGTTGGCACCATTACATCCCAGTACCTTTTCCAAACGTGGAAAGCACTCAATAAACAAATGAAAGATGCAGAAGGAAGAGCTCTGTCTTCAGCCAGTCTCTTTGGAGCTCTATTTTCCCAGCCATGTGAAGGGATGAAACTATACTAACAAATCAGCCCTTCTCAGAGAGTTGTGAGACTAAGGATATGAAGGAACTCTGAAAAGAAGAAATGGATGCTATTCCTTCCAACTGAAGAGAATTGAAATGAAGCTGGGCTTCAGGGGCAGAGAAGCTCACTAGCTTAGTCAACATTTAGCTGCTGTGTACTTTAAGACATTAGAGGAATCCTACCCCCAAATCCCTTACAGATCTCAAGTGGTGGCCAATAAAAGATTACGGCTGTCAATAAAAGATTACGGCTGGTGGTTTGAGTCTTCATTCTACATGCTACACATACTATGTGATCATTAGATTGTCTCTGATTATCAAGAGAGTGATCATTATCTCTAGAGTTCAATCCAAACTCATCAGAAAAGAGCCCTGTGATCAATTAGCAATGTCTTCCATGGGCACAAAAGGAGAAGAGGATGTGTGATCGTTTCTGTCCCTGACATGATTGGTTCTAAATCTTTAAATGATAGACTGTTAAAATTCAAGGGGACCACAGAGATTAGATGAAAGGTCAGCAAACTAAGGATCCTGGAGCAAATCCAGCCAGCCGCCTACGTATGTAAATGGTGTTTTCCAATTTTTTGTTTCTTTTTCTAGAGAGATTTTTGCTATAGGGCAAGAGTGCTCACCAGAAAGACAGAGAGAGACAGAGAGATAGAAAGCAAGAAATCATCCCCCAGGAGGATGGCCACACTGCAATCTCTTCTCCATTCTCCTCTCAGGATTTTGGTCATGTATGCCCACACATCCAGTGTCAGTTTTAAGCTGCCGTGTCTGGGACTTGAACTGCGATCATCCATGTGGGAGTCCAACAATGTAACCATTATATCATCTGCTGATCCCCATAAATAATGTTTTATTAAAACATAGCCACGAGACTGGCAGTTAGCATGGTTATTAAGGGCACCGGACTCCCACATGGTTGACTGTGGTTTGAGTCCTGGACCCTGCAGCTTGCTTTCTCTCTTTCTTTCTGACTCTCTGTCTCCCACTTGTTCTGTCCTTCTCTGATCAAATTTAAATAAATAAATAAATAAAGTTACAAAAACAAGTCTTAAAAAAAAAAAAAGAAACATTCATTTATACAATATCATTGACTATTTTTTCTACTACAGTGGCAGAGTTGAAACATTCATATATACATTGTCGTTGACTATTTTTTCTACTACAGTGGCAGAGTTGAATAGTTGCAACAGAGACCTAAAATAATTACTATATAACCTAAAATATTTTCTCTATGGGTATTTACAGAAAATGTTTGTTGATCCTCAATTTAGATCAAACCCCTCACTTGAGTGAAAGAGACTGAGTCCCTAAGGAGGATGAACAAGCCCAAAGTCACACAATGAGTTAATCACACAATGCAAGATTGAGCCTTCCTGAAACTGGCTACCCACACGCTGATCCTCAGAACCTGTTTGATGGTGGACATTCCCCCTCCTAACCTGATCTTAACCTGAGATTGATTCACTAAATCTACTTCACACACCCTCTATTGCTTTCCACTGTGCTCTATAGAACTCTACAGAAGCATTTAGTGCATTCTCATACAAACCAACTTTTTTTTTTCCAAATCCCATCTACCCTGAGGCTACGGTGAAGTCATGTGGTGTCTACATCACACAGTCCTCAACGACCTGAGCTTGAAAGTCAGACCTGCCTGAGTTGGAAGAAAATCACCTCTCTGAGCTTGTTATCTCAGCTGTAGAATGCGGGTACTGCTTTCTCCTGTGACCTACGAGAGTTGTGAGGTGTGCTGACAAGCACTTAGCACTGTCTGGTCCACTTGATGTAGTAGACTTTTTTTGTTTGTTTGCGGTTTTACTTTTTAAATAATTCTTTTTATTTAACTTTATTTATTTATTTTAATTTGGCCAGAGAGGGACAGAGTGAGAGAAAGAGGGAGGGAAAATGAGAAAGCAAGCTGCCAGTTCTGGGACTCGAACCACTGTCGTGGGAGTCCAGCTCTTAACCACCATGCCACCTGCTGGACTTTTTTTTTTTTTTAAGTTTTTGCCTTATGGCGTGTGCACTCACCTGAGAGAGAAAGAAAGAGAGACAGTGAGAAGGAAAGTGAGAAATCAACCCCTAGGGGGATGGCCACATCACAATCCCTTTTTCTCCATTCTCCTCCCAGGAGAATGGGCACGCATACACGTGCACCCAGCATGATTTTGAAACCACTGGGTCCAGGACTTGAACTACAGTCAGCCATGTGTGTCCAGTGAAGTAACTGCTATGCCATTTACTGGCTCCAGTGGACATTGTTTTCATTGCACTCAGGTCCCTGCATACAGTGGGCACACAAGGAGCAATCAGTCTCTAACTGCAGGCTTGGTTCTGCATCCAGTTTGCTCTGCACCACCAAATGTTTGACCAAATCAGGCTCTATTCATGCCCTGATACACACACACACACACACACACACTCACGTGTATGTGTGTGTACATATATGCTCATGCATATATATATGTGAGGGTATATATATATCTACATATATATGTGTATATGTACATATATATTCCTCAGTAACCATTGGGACTGGTTCCAGGATGCCTGGGGATTACCAAAATTCATGTATGTTCAAGTCTCTTATATAAAACGGCACCTTATCTGCATATGACCCGACATATCCTCTAGTATATGGTACTTTAAATCATCTCTGGGTTACTAATACTACCTAATACAACATAAATGCTCTGTAAATTGTTCTGTGGTGTTATTTAGAGAATTGACAAGGAAAAAAAGTCTATAAATAATCAATGCAGATGCACCCAATTTTTTTACTAAATATTTTCAGTCTGTGGCAAGCCGAATCAGTGGAACCTGTGGATTTAGAAAGCCAACTGAACAAGGGGACTTCATGAGAAAATGGAATTAAGTATGAGCTTATGTTGGTGCAACAATGAAGATAGAGATTGAAATCCATGCATACGTTTTTATAACACTCATTTTCCATGAACTTGTTGAAGACAAACCCCCTTCATGTATCTCCTCCGGGTTCTATTTCTCTGGAGAACCCTGACTAGTGAGACCTCTGGCCTCTGCAGTTCCCAGTGCCCTTTGCTGCAGGCCTGTCACATCACCAGTTATGAGGCTGGATTGTCCTTTATGCTGCCCTCAAAACTGGCTTCTGATGATTGTCCCGAGGATTGTTCATGTGGTTCCACACCCACACCGAGTACTGAGTAGTGGATAGGAACTCTGGGCACTGCGAGGGTCTGTACTTTCCCTGCAAGTATCCATGTGCCTGTGGGGACAAACATCCAAAAAATTTTTTTCGATACCCTGACAGATTGAGAGAGAGATTGCAGAATAAAGGAAAAATACTTTAGTGCCTTAAAAAAAAACAATCTCAGAGGGCACGTGCATTGAAGAAAGACAAAGGATGAGAGAGAGAGAAGGAAAGCAAGAAAGCACCCCTCATGGGGCATGGTCACACCTCAGTCCTGTCGTCTCCATTTCTCCCTCCTTGCAGGATTTTGGGCATGCGTGTACACATGTCCTATGTGTTTCTCAAGTCATCAGGTCCAGGACTTGAACTGTGTCATTGGCCATGTGGGATCCAGCCGCCTCAACCACCATGTCACTGGTGCCCTCAATGTTAGTACTTTGACAACACTTTCTTCCTGCATTTGAATGAGAATTTTGCATATTCATTTTGCACTGTGCCCCCAAATTACAGAGCTAGTCCTGGAGGGGCTCCTGTGTCAAGTGAGAGGAGCCTCCCAGTCACACAGGAAACAGTCCCGGACCCAGC